AAAATATCTATATCAAGTTGCTGTTATACTGGAGTATTTAAAGTTCCGGTGGATTTACAAAAGAGAGCATAGCCTATCTGACACTGCCATGTGGGCATCCATGTTATTGTTCAATAACATATGGCTTGGATGGCATTGAAATTATAGTCAGCTTTGCATATCAACCCTGCTGCTCTAAGAATGGATGATTTGAAATGAAGTGTGGAAACTGTTTTCGACAAAAAGCAGTATAAATCATCACTGGTTATTGAGCCATATAAAAACTTACAAATATTGTTTGCAAATCTCCTTCAGAGCTGTGCCTTTAGGTTAGATCACAAGTAATCTCCGAACTTCTGATAATTCTCAGGATCTCAGGGGTTGACACCGGTGGCTAAACTCTTCTGTTCAAAAAGTTATACGGAGATTTCAACAGGTATGATCTTCAAATGTTACACTTCTCAAATGAGTAACTGCTGCATTTCTGATCTTCCTCAGCATTTCCAGAAGCCTATCTATTGACTGGAAACATCTTACCAATACTAAAGTTTTGATTTGGAGTTTGTCTTATAGTATTTACAAATATATTAGAACTGTGGGTATTTACATGTTTATACTTCGCAATTCTGAACAAAAGGCACATGTCTCAAATAATATAATAGGGACGTTATTCAATCAAAATGAAATGTTTATGTTAGAAGAAATTAAAATGGCTTGCGAAGTAAGGTTATTTTTGCAAAGCACACAGCTATAGGAAGAAATCTACCAGAAATTTGAATCTGACCAATCAGACAACGTCAGTTGTGAATAAGCGGCACATTTTTTGAGGGTACAACATGATTGTCATATTGTGCACCCACAACACTGCTTTGTTTCCCATTCGCTCATGAGTTTCATCCCTTTGTATAGCGCCATAAAGAAGCCTTCCGGAAATTTAAATCTGACCAATCAGACAATTTTTGGAAGGTGTGACATGGTTGTCATATTGTGCACCCATAGTAGTGCTTAGTTTCCCATTCCCTCATATGAGTTTCACCTCTTTGAGTATAAGGTTAAGTAACGTGTTTTGTGTATACAACCAGACATACGCGTAACTGTAACGACTGTTGCAACCACTTGGCTGTTATAAATACACAGCTATATTTAATCTTGTAGACTTCTGGTCTCTTTAGAGTGGATTAAAATTAAGTGTCATGTAAAATTGTGGCACTAATTAGGGTTTACAATCATATTTAAGCCGATAATGACTTGTATAAACTCCTAAATTTCAAGTTGCCTAGTTGTGGGTAAACATTGAAACGTTGCCAAATCGTACTTGACTGTTATTACCATTATAGTCCGGTATGCTTAGAATATAGAGATTTTAAATCTATTCAAAAATATTTATTTTCACGCCTAAAAAAGGATAATGCTTATCGGTATAATCCAATATTGGATGAAGTGATCGTCATAAAGCCGAAAATGGTACGTTTTAGATGTTTCGGTACCATGCGCTTGATGGAGTAATTTTAAAATATCTAAAATTTTCAATGGAAACGAATAATGATGAAAACAGTTGCAGATTTGAATCCGAGGTATGAGCTTTCTTATGTAAAAGCCGCCAAGTCCGTATCTTTATTATCTTCGGAGAATATAGACTATAGACAGTGAAAATAGAAAAACCCTCTTTAATCTCCTACTATTCTCTATGTTTTAGGGCTGTGGTGTCAATCGTTCCTACAATTGTTATGACCTCATTAATTGTCATAAATCAAATCCAAGGGAATAACCACAATGTTTGTGTTATGTGCCGCGGTTATAATATGATTCAAGATGACACACGGGTTGATGACGTCAGTTACACGAATCGCTTGAACGCATTGGTTTTAACCGCGGATTTGTTGCAAGTTGTTTATTTTAGAAAAGCGCGTATATGATTTCTGATTATTTTTATTATCACTTAATAATTGGTGCTTTTTCGTTTACAACTGTATATGGAAAGTTTAAATAAGAAACCTGTCATAATATTCATGGGAGAAATGTTTTTTCAGATTTTTTTTTTAATGATGGAACCATGGCTTTGTAGCTATGATCACTTTCAATTCTCTAAATTTTTCCGCGTGTCAAAGAAAACATTTATTGATTCAGCAGAAATGATGAAAAAAGAAATTAGCAAAACCGTATACAGGTGGATATCATCTAGTCAGTTTATATGACCATATTTTAATATTCTTGTGGTATATGGCTACACAGGATAGTTTGTTAAGCATAAGAACTACATTTAAAGTGCTCCCAACAATAATGAGTATAATTAATAAGGTGCTCCACTGTATGGTAAAACTGAAGTCAGACTGTATCAATGTTCTCAAAAATGAAGCTGAAGTACAATAATAATATCCAATACTCGGCAAAATTCTAACTGGTCACATTTCAAATAATAATCAGAAATATAAAACTACTTTTGAGTTGGGTAAATACCATAATTTTGCGGTGATAACTATGACATATAACAGCTGATTCGTGACGTCACGGATCTTATAACCAAATTGATAATTACACTCGGTTGAACCGATCGGTAAATACCAATCCAAAATGGTAAATACCATTTCCATTTGGTTATCCGCTTGAATTTGATTATAGTTTGTACAGTTTTTCAGAAACGTTTCTGTTGTTCCGTGTCAGCGCTTTATTTTCAGGTTATGTTTTATTAGCCTGAAATTTCGTATCATTAAAATAAAACAACCTCACAATAGGACAGCCCTGGCAATGATATGGAACAGTAGAAATCTAATACATAAACCTTTTTGAAGGATAGAAAAGAGTATGAAAATGAAGGTTATAACAGCGTTTTACGAGACAATTGTAGGAACTATTGATGATAGCGCCCTTAATTGCCTAGTTGTTTTAGTGTGTTAATTAAATGCTATATACTGTATGTTACTTCTACCTTTCCCTATCCTTCTACCATTTTTTAATTCTATACGTTTAAAACTATTTTCAAAAAGATCAGAACTTCTGAACGTCAAAGAATGAGGTTTGAGCAATTTTTACTTCTTTTTTTTTCACTATCAATGAATCGATTTCTAAAAATTATAAGGATTTTTCGTTCTTGGTATAGCAATACCTTGCTTAAAAGAAAATCATTTACTCTATAAGTTAGGTAGTGATTATTCACAAGAAATTTGTACGCCTTGACGATAGTAAGTGTATCTTCTAGTGACACAATAAACACCAGAATCTGTTTTAGCAGATGGAAAATTTCTATTGTCAAAATAAATTTTAATAGCGGTACGATGTGATCTGAAATATTAATATTTCGTAAAATTGTGACTGTTGAAAACAATTTGACGAATTTTCTTTTAAGCTGAAAGTATATACAGTATAAGGGATAAGGAAATTAAACAAGTGATATTCAATTATATATTGATTTATTTTTGAAAAATTACAATTTATTAGATTTTACAGCTAACAATTAATATAAGAAAATTGGAAAAGTGATAAAGAATGATATACAGGGTGATTTCAAAGTTGAGTCATTTATTTTAACAGTGAGTAGATCTGATCAAAGAAATGTTTTTTTCCTTTACCATTTTTCTGGTAAAATTAAAGTAACAAAGTTATAGCCCTTTGGAAGTTTGAGTACCGCCCTGTCTCAATAACATCATGTGCTCGTGTTTGGCAACAACGGATATAATCCACCTTATCGGTTCATCGCATCGGAAACAAAAAAGCGAAAGAATTTGGAACGATGTTTATTTTATTCAGTTCAGTTATACATACAGTCAGTGTCAGTCGGTAACGCGTGTGAATAGTGTCTGTTGCGTGGCTCAAACGAAATAAAAAATGGCACATGTTTATGCGTATCGGTTTCCCAATCGAGTGCAACCAACCCCTCGTGCCTTTGTTAATGTAGTACAACGGGCTCGTGAATCAGGTGACTTCAGACCTCACAGGGGACCTCACGATCAAATACAGGTCCGCACTGAAATACTTGTCGGGAGGATACTTTATAAAACAAGGTAAAAATTTTTTTTTATTTTTTTTTTATTTTTACACACATATTTTGGTTTATCTTCCTTCTACAATCATTATCTGAAAATTAATGACTCAACTTCAAAGTCACCCTGTATGTATTCATTGTAAAGTCTATTAGGTTTTATAACAATTGATATTTTTGAATGGCATTTTCTATCATCGTCGAAGTATAATTCGCTTAGGATCTAACATCAGCGTGAAGGTATTAAATACCTAAAAAAATTTATTAAATATAAAATTATATCTAGGAGTATATGTGTATTAAAATAACTTACATAAAAATTTTTGATTATCAGATTTTACTATGTTGATGTGATAATTTTGTAGTATTGTAGTTGTACATAGTAATAGTATAATAATGGGTACATATTATTTAGGTGGACTCTGTTTTTGCTTTATATAGTTATGTGTTCTACAATTTTAAATATACTGTAGAAAGAATCTGAAATGGCAAGATTATATAGTAAATTGCTAGTAAAGTGGCATTTCGTTTTTGTTTTTGGAAAAAAAAATTTACCTGACTGCCTTTAGTTTTCATTAAAGTTTGCTTTTAAAGTTATCCTTCATCTATAGTTTATTATCAATACAGCTGACAGGGACTGCGAGGAATATTGTTGATTTCTTTGTAGAGAGATCGTCCATAGTGGCGTGACAATTTCTACTTCTGAACAGGTTGCAAAGTAGAATTCACATCAACATTTTGCAACATTTATCATCATTAAACAGAAATAATTAAAACAGTGATCTGTAACTGATTAATGTTAGATGAAAAGGATTAATTTGCAGCTCTCAGCTAGTCCATGTTCGGACTACCCAGGACTCACCGCGCGGAGGTAGCTGCAAGTCGAGTCCCACCCTCCTTCCACCCGTCTTTCAGTTTCAATAAAATGATAAATACTTATTACAAAAAGAAAAAAAAATGAAACTGTAAGACGCACAAAAATTAAACGTAAAATCTGATTATTCAAAATTGAAAACAAATACAAAACGACTATGAATAATATATATCTGAAAAAAAGGAAATCTAAATAAGTAAATAAATATTTATTTGAACAAATGGTAAATGGTTGTTGAATTAGGTTTTTTATAATCCTTGCATACATTAAATTTGCTTCTCGATTTGTACAAAAAAAAAAAACATTTACCAAAACTTTAATGTATCATCTAAGTTACTTCGCTCTCTTGTTTGTTATTTATTTCATTGATTTTTTTGTTTCCTTGTTCTATAATTTCAAGTATACTGAAAACAATTGGTAACGGAAATTGTATTTCCCATCTATTTTCGCAAAAAATGATTGCCAGTGTTTATCATTGTTTCTCATTAGACTATGTTTCCTAAGTTATTCTACTTCCAGTATTCATATTGCAAAAATTATCTAGGTAGATCATATCCTTTTTCATATGATTTCATTTCCATCATGTCATCTGAAAAAAAATTATAATGCAGGACTTTTTGTTAAAATGTCAGATTCTTAGAAATATTTAATATCTGTGTTTGTGAAAAATATAGTTGATACCACTAAAATGTACATGAATGTTTTCAGAACAATATCTTATATCAAAGAAACTTACGTCAGATGTTTCAGACATTAGTATCCATTCTGTAATTGTATAGATATATGGTTTGCTATAATAATGCGTAAACACTATTTAAGTGGATTTTCTTTCTGTTGTGTCTTTTGTTTTGTAATTTTAATTTTACTGAAAGAGAAACCTGAAAATGGAGAAAATGCAGATGATATAGATTGCATTTTTCATCTGTTTTTGGAAAAACATGATTGATTGTCATCTTTTCCTATTATAGTTTGCTTCCAAGTTGTCTTTTTCTCAGCATTAATATTGCAGTTATGGTTAAGTCGAGTTTTTCTTCTTTATAAGGTTTATTTTTCCAAGCTGTTTCTGTTACATTAGCATTATGGTAAATAGCAGACAACATATAATCACAGATTTTTAGACCTTCCAAATGTGAGCGTTTCGTAATTTTAGTGATCTAATATTGGATGCACATTAATCAAGTGGGGTTTTGCTTTTTTCATATATTGTTTTGTTGTTTAGTATTTTAAATAACCTGAAAAATAAACCTAAAATGGAAATATTGTTGATGGTGTAATCTGCATTTTATATTGAAAAGTTTCTCGGACTATCTCCATCTGTTGTTGCAAACTATGCATCCTTTTTTCAGTATTAATATTGTAGTTTTTAGCTTGTAGGTTCATCGTTCATATTCATTACATAGTTTATTTTTCAACGATCATCTAAAACACGTAAATGGACATACATTTTTTGTCAACAAAACTGTTTATATCTTATAAATATGATATGGTTTTTGGTAAATAAGTCGTCGCTGATAGGATTAAAATGTACAATAAGATGTTCAGAAGAATATTTGTGAAAAATATTTTGTATAACTTACATAACAGTCCTTATTTTGACCCATTAGTATTGTTATACACAGAATAGTATATGGTAACATGATTTTGCTTGTGAAATTATGGTTCCTCCACTACCATTTATGTTGTAATTTATAGTTAGATCAACCTTTTCTATTTCTTTATGTTATTTGCTTCTGTAGCGGTTGAGTACAATGGTCTTTGAAATATATCTACATTCCATATTGTATAATTTAAATAAACTGAAAATAAAGCAAAAAATGGAAAGATTGTTGATGGTGTAATCTGCAGTTTGTATTGAAAAGTTCTCGGACGATCCCCATCTGTTGTTGCAAACTATGCATCCTTTTTTCAGTATTAATATTGTAGTTTGTAGCTTGTAGGTTCACCGTTCATATTCCTTGCATAGTTTATTTTTTCAACGATTCATCTAAAAAAAGGGATTAAATTGTACAATAAGATGTTCAGAAGAATATGTGTGAAAAATATTTTGTATAACTTACATAAAGTCCTTATTGAACTATTAGTATTGTATACACAGAATAGTATATGGTAACATGATTTTGCCTTGCTGAAATTATGGTTCCTCCACTACCCATCTATGTTGTAATTTATAGTTAGATCAACCTTTTCTATTTCTTTATGTTATTTGCTTCTGCTAGCGGTTGAGTACATGGTCTTTGAAATATATCTACATTCCATATTGTATAATTTTAAATAAACTGAAAAACTAAAGCTAAAAATGGAAAGATGTTGATGGTTGTATCTGCAGTTTGTATTGAAAAGTTTCTCGGCCTATCTCCATTTGTTGTTGCAAAACTATGCATCCTTTTTCAGTATTACTATTGTAGTTTGTAGCTTGTAGGTTCATCGTTCATATTCCTTGCATAGTTTATTTTTTTAACGATTCATCTAAAAAAAGGGATTAAAATGTACAATAAGATGTTCAGAAGAATAT